CCGCGCCGCAGCCCGGCACCCGGCGCACCTGGCCCTCGGGGCCCGGCCCGCCTGCCCACTGCCCGCCCTCGCTCGCGTCCCGAGCCCGACGCCCCCTCACAACTTCGGGCTGGGGAGGGGACCCCGGACGGGGCGACCGGGGTCCGGGAGTGGAGAATACGAACCGGGCACAGCGGAGGCCGACCGCTTCCTCCCGACCGGCAGGCGGCGGGGCACCCTCGGGCGTCCCTCCCTCCCGCAGCCGCGCGCAGCTACCCGGAGCGCGGAACCTCGCCCCGGGTCAGCCCGCTCCGCGCCCCTGCCCCGCCCGCTAGGTCCGACCCGAGCGCTCCCTGCCTCCTGATTGGCTACTCGGGAGCGAGTGGGCGGAGAGCGGGCCGCCGCCTGCCGGGCTGGGGCGGAAGAGGCGCGCGCGGTCTGCCAGTTTTGTGACGTCATGGAGGTCAGACAATCCCTTCCATTCGGCGCCCCCGCCCGTTGGTTCCTGGTGGCTGCCCACGTGACCGCTCTCGGCTGCTGCGGCGGATGGACGGTGGATCTGAGCCGGGCTCGGGAGATGCTGGCCGTGGGGTGGGACGTGGTGCTGGCTGTGCTGGCCGGAGGAGGAGGGAGCGCCGGGCTGGTCCCAGCGTCTCAGCACGGGGGATGGGGGGCCCCATGGCCGGGCGGCTCCCCGCCGGGCGGGCTTCCGCGAATCCCTGGCACCTTGGTTGGGGACGCTGGAGCCCTAGGCCGGCTTGACAGCCGCTCTGTGCCGGCTGTCCGGTGGAGCGGCGCCCAGCCCAGCGGGAAACCAAACTTCCCGCAGCCCTTCTCCGCCTGCGATGTAAGGCGAGACAGCGAAATTCAAGTTTGTCTCTTTTTTCATTGGCCCACCACAAGTTGCAGATTAAAGGAACATGAGTTCGGCTGTTCCCTGTTGCATGTCTCAGTCCCAGGGAGAGAAAGCTGGCCGGATCAGCGTTGCGCGGCAACTTTGAGGAAAGAGTTCTTTCCCGTGGGGAGCAGGTGTGTGGCCAGCTGCCTTGAAGGACTTCTAATCAGGATCATCTGTCTCATTTGTCCTGAGTGGTTAGAGGAGAAGGGGTAGGATGCAGCCTACTAAAGTGTGGAGCGCCCTTCCAGGCCGTCCTGTGATGGCTGCGTTTCCCTACCGGGAGACTGAGCTTCTGCCTGTGAGCTGAGGTTAGGCCGAGGGTATCACTGCTCTTCCGTGTGACTACAGACACAGAGCACTTCACTTACCTCCATCCACGCTTATCTATGGGACAGTGGCTTCACTTCCTGCCATTCACACAGATCCCAACTAATGTCCTCTGGAAGTTTCCTTGGAGGTGTCAGGTGGTCATTGCACTTATCCTGCTTAATGTTAAACTGAAGAGTTGACCCTGATTTCTAATCTTTAGTTCTTTACTAGCCTGTCAGTTTTCCAAGTTATGTGGACTCGATTGTCATGTTAGCAATATTGTGCAGTTGTTAATCCTGAATTATCTGATTTATGTAAGAAAGGAAAAGATGTACCCAAACGGGTTATACAGAATTCCTGGATCTTTCAAGCTGCCTCTTCTATCTTCTAAACAAATTAGTCTTTTGCTAGCCTCAGGGAACTTGTGGCTAGACTTCTGGCCCCATCTTGCTTTACATAAGTACATCTACCTCACCCTGTCCCTAGTTGTGCTTCCTGTAAATTTGCAAGTACCTTTTTTTTTTTTTTTCATTTTCTGTTACTTCATTTGTTTTATCTGCCCCCACCCCACTCCACCCCACTCCCGACTTGTGGCAGCAGCATAAACTGGTACATAGCACAATAACTAAGAAAATTGCTGGAGTCAGACTGCCTCAGATTTCCCTCTGCAGCCTACTGTATGGTCTTGGACAACCTGTATTGTGCTTCAGTTCCCTCATATGTGAGATAAAAAATAAAAAGAGGAATAATTGACAAGGCTGCATTGAATTGACATATGTATATCTTGCTAGAAAATTGACTGTTATAGGCATGTCAGATCAATGTTTTAGGTTAAGGACTTTAGTACAAGAGGCTGAGGTCCCAAAGGACAGAATATTCTGTAGCTATAGTCTTAGTTGTTGTTTGGTGCTTGTTTTTGAGACAGGGCTTTACTATGAAGTTCAGGCTGACCTTGGACGCAGTATATAGCCAAATCTGAACTCTCAGCAGTCCTCCTTCCTCAGCCTCTTGAGTGCTGGGACTACAGGCACCACCACTTCTGGCCTTAAAACTAGTATTATTAAAAGAATGAAGAGTCTTGGAACCTCAGGTGATGAGTTTCAATTCATGATCTCACTGCCTGTGAGCCCACTGTGCAAGGGTGGATGCCAAGGCCGGCTCGTGAGTGGGTTATTAAGGCTTCCTGCCTGAGACCCTATGAAAGAAGTTCCTAGTAGATTTCCCTGTTTCTGTAAACTTTGTCCTAAAAATTATCGATAGAAAATAGTCTCCAAAACCTACACATCCATCAGAGATAACCTCATCAGAATTATCATGGCAGCATATACCCTTATTCCACACTGATATTGCCATTGTTTGGAGCACTATTAAAATTCTTTTTTCAATTTGTTTTCAAATCTGCATAGCAAACTCCAACTTGTTTTATTATAATCAGTTCTTTAGTTTTATAGCAGAATAGTATTGATTGTCCCATTTTATTGTTATTCATTCTGAATGCCCTAGCTATTTCTGAAAGGAATACCCACCCAAAAAAAAAAAAAAAAAAAAAAAAAAAAAAAAAACATCTGATATTTGCCACCACAAAATATAATCAAAAAAACAATTCCAGTTAAAAACAAGAACAAGGCCAGGCCAGAGGGAAGTGAAGGTGGGATTCAAAAAAACCTCTTCCAGGGCTCCGCGACTGATATCTCTGCAGGGGCACCAGAAGTTTATTTACTGCACACACGTCACTGAATTATGTAACATTACAACTAGGGAACAAAATGAGGCATCAAGATTGAATGCCAGAGTATTTCTGGAATCAGTATAACGCCTCTCCAAAGTGATGGATTTGAAATAACCTCATTTAAAGGTATAAGTTTTGTTCTCTAGTTGTAACATTACATAAAAAAACCTTGTTCTTGTTTTTAACTGGAATTCTGTTTGACCACTAGCCTTGAAAGCTTTATTTGTTACCATGTGACCTGTGGCCAAGGCTAAGGCAGGACCGTGAGTTTGCTGTTCTAAGCTCACAGATTGTTTTAGCCATGGGAACACCTGTTGATACATCATCATTGAAAAGTGTTGAAAAGTAGCATTGAAACAACCCAGGATTGCTGTAGAGAAGGAACAGGCAAGGAGGGAGAAGGATGCTTCATTAATAGTGTGATCCAACGACAGCACTAGGCAAGAATACCTGCTTTGTCTACACACGTGCTTTCTGTGATATTAAAACTAACATGACTTTTAATATTTAGTCATTCTCCAATAACTAACATAGAAATAAGAAAATGCTCAAGCAGAGTGACCTGGTAGTATAGGAAGATGAATAGATTCTTAGGGGGTATTGGAGATTAGCTTGGGCAGCATACAGATGATCCAGTAGTTTCAGTGATGCCAGCCAGGAAGCTTAAAATAGACCTGCAAGTGGGGCTGAGATGCTATTAGTGTGCTCATTGCTGACTTACTGTGCCCTTTGCCAAAATCAGTAGTCGGTTTGCCATATTTCTCCTTAGCTCCTATTTCCCTACAGGATTCAGCTAAGATATCAGTGAGCAATTAGTAAGTAAACCATCTGTGTTCAGTTGCTTCTTTAAAATTAACTTACTCGGAGCTATGCTGTGAGTTGACAAATGATCTACTCAGAAGAAGCAGAAGGTGTCTTGTGGCTCATCTGCTTCCGACCAGAGGCTGCTCCTGGTGCTCTCAGATTTGTCTCATTTTCTATTTGAAATGTGTTCTCATCAGATTTCAAAAATCAATAGGACAAAACAGAGGAAAAATAAAACAAACTTCATTGTCTTGCAAAATTAGGGAAAGAATTCTTTTGCCTGGCAGGATATTTCTGCTTATTCACTGACAGGACAAAAAAAGTAGGTATGTGGGGTTGCTTAATTACTAGGTTGAGGTCCCTTTAGTAAGAAGACTGAGTACCTGTGGGCCTGTGTGAGCGGTACTTAGAGATGCTTGTGGATGTACAGTGGAGTCACTCCCTAATAAATTCTTCAAAAGCTGAAAATGTATTGAACACCCCTAAACTTACTGAACATCCTAACTTGACGACATCATGCCTTGAGTATCAGCTGTTTCCTCTCATGACCATGCAGCTCACAGAAAGCCTCTCTGCCATTGCCCACCACTGAGAGTATTGTACCACTGTTACGGTTTGTATCTAGCTGTCCCCAGAAGGACTCGTGCAGTCATGGGGCAGGCTTCTAGAGTTTGTGATTACATCATGACCCAGTGAGGGATTATGGGTGTGAGAGCCACGCCAGCCCTGGGGCAGAGAGCCTGAACGCAATATAAGGAAGGGCTGTATGTCTGGATCTCTGCCACTGCTCTTCTCTTTTAGCTCTTGCTGTTTTGCTGTTGTCTGCCACCAGGAACTACTGCCTCTTGCCATGTGCCACTCTGCCTTGGAGCCAGCCAAATATGGATTGAAACCTCCACAAACCATCAGCAAAATAAACTTTTCTTTCCTTCATTTTGGATGTCAGGTATTTTGTCCCAGCAACTATAGAAGAGTAACCATGACGATCACATACCCTGAGTCCACACAAAGATCAAAATTCCAAATTTGAAATATGGCATCTACTAAGTCAATCACTTCATGCTATCATAAAATGTAAAAATCGTAAGTTGAACAACAATAAGGTAAGAAGCATCAATATTTCAAAAGTCCCTGTTTGTTATGGCTTGCGTCTAGTTGCCCCCTTAAGACCTCACGCAGTCCTGGGGAAGATTCTGGGGCCTGTAATCGATTCTTGATCCAATGCTGGGTTATGGATGTGAGTGCCCTAGAGCAGATACTGTGCATTACAACATGAGGAGGGGAGAGAGGCTAGCTGGCTGCCTGAGCAGCTGCCACTCCCTTTGCTCTCTGCTCCCAGCCACTACTGTGAACTGTTGCCCTGAGCCCTGTGCCACTCCACCCTGGAGCCAGCTGAGTATGGACTGAAGCCTCCACTAACTGTGAGCTAAATAAACCTCTCCTTTCTACATTTTGGGTGTTGGGTATTTGTCCCAGCAATGACAGAAGGGTAATTAAGACACTGTTAAC